GAAAGCTGAAACAAAGATGAGACAGAGGAATCAGTGCCCATCATTTCAAGTCCATTAGCTGTCTTATAATGAGGTAAGGATTATCCTCCCAGGAAACAAAAGACATGTGCTCGCCCATGAATAGTCTCCTGTGATCTTGTCACAGGTTTAATAGCTACTACAAACATAGCAACAAGGAGATGATGTTGGTTCTTTTCTGTTAAATTAAGATTTCATAGTTAATGCAGACTATGAATACAGGCATACAGTAATGCTGATCACCCTACAGTGGCACAAGTGAAGAAGGGCTGACAGCCGAAACAGGTTGGCTGTGTACGCTGGCTTTGTTTTTCTATCTCTAGGGTGGAAACATGGCTGCTAACAAATACCCACTCTCTGGCTATCCCGAAAATAGCTGAATGACCACAGGTTGCCAGGCAGCTGTATCCTGATGTCATCCCCCAGTGCTGTCTCCAAAGCCAATGTGAGACAATTGCTGTCTCCTTCCAGCAGTTTCCAGCTCGCCATAGCATTCAAGCATTTGATAGAAAGATTCAAAAGATTTCTTGTCTCTTTTACTACTTAAAAGTTTTTATCTTGAGAGGAATATGCCCTTCAAATAATTGCTGTCCATTAGAGTGAGCCCCTGCCTCAAAAAAACAAAAAGAAAAAAACTTACCTTCATCATAAAAAACAGATCCTTAAATCATAGGGGTTTTTTTTATTGTTAAATATAATTATCAACTGTAACTATATTGTTTATGTTGGTCAAACTTAAAACATCATTCCTCATACCATTCAGACATACAGTACAGGGGCCAGGGAGATGGCTCAGTAGAATAAGCACTTGCCTGGCAAGCAAAAGGGCCTGAGTTCAATCCCCAGTTCTGTCAAAAAAAACCCAGACTTACAGTATAGTACATACAAGGACAATGTGTAATGGCGCCAAGTTACGTGTGACTGAGAATAATTTTTATACTAGTAATACTGGGGAAGCAAACTGTGAAGTGCAGGCTAATATAAGCAAATAAAAGCACTGTCCTCATAGCAGAGTTGGTGACAGCACTGTGTTCTCATCGCCTCTCTCATGCCTCATTCAGAAACGTGTGCACTTGGCAGCGAGAAGGAGTCTGCAGCAGCAGCCCCTCTAGTCTCGAACACCATAGTATGGCAATTCTTGCTTTTAGACTGATGCTATCAGTTGTGCGGAAACTGTAGACTACTTACCAGTGGGGTGCACATGGCCACTTAGGTTCCCCGTGTAGGTCACAGTTCTCAGGTCTCAAGTTTCCTGGCCATATTTGTCAGCTTCATGCCATTAGGCTCCTGTATGCAATGACCACCATTATCACAGCCTCCACTGCCTTTCCTAGGTAGGACTCAGTGGGCTGGAACATGTCTGTATACATGTCTGTTTTCTCCCAAGTGTGTCTCAAACTGACTGGGTATCAGAAACCTACCTAATGGGTAGCTGAACCTCAATTTTTGTGTTTCTGGCTGGATATGCAAAACATCACAGATTACTAATATGTTTTGTGATTGTGTGTATGTGTGTGTGTTTATTTTATACATGGTGTCACTACTCAACTTGAACTCGTACTGATCCTCCTGTTTTCAGCCTCCCCAATGCTGTGATTACAGGCATGCACTACCACTCCCAGTCTTGGAGTTCCGGCTCAGTGCACCCAGGGGCAGGGCTGGCGCAGCATGTGGTGTCAGGGATTGAACCCCAGTCCCTGCACTTGCCTACGCAGACACTTAGTCCTCTGAGCTATCTCACCGAACCTTGTAATAATTTAAATCCAGCATCGTTTTATATAATTTATAAAAGTACTCCTAAGATCAAGTCTGTGAAATTCCTAAATGAACTAGTCAGGAAAAGAATTGTTAATGGGATACACTCACTGGGTTGTGCTTTTGTTGTTTTGATATTATTGAATGTCTTAGAACCGGTGCTCTTCCCTGTTACTAGTGGTAATTAAAATGCTCTCCTCTTGGAACTGAGGTTATAAAATGTAACAAAGGTACAACCTCCTTTATGCACAAAACTGAGGATGTTGCTGCTGCTGTTCTTCATATGAGAGATCAGTAGGCACCGGATGCCAGAACCCAACCAGGCTCGGGGGTGCACATTGGTCATCCAAGCACTCTGGGAGGCTGAGGTGGGAGGATGAAAAGTTTCAGGCCAGGTGGCCAAGGAGATGGCTCAGTGGCATGAGTGCCTGCCTGGCAAGCACAAACTCCAGAGTTCATCCCTGGTACAAAAAAAAAAGAAGAAGAAGAAGAAGAAAACAAAGGAAAGTTTGAGGTCAGTGAGGCAATTTATAAACTTCACAAGACCCTTTCCCAAAATAAATAATTCTAAAAGTGATGGAGATTGTAGCTTAGTACAAGGGCCCTGGTTTGAATCCCCAGTTGTATGTACATATGTACACACACACACACACACACACTGGATCAGAAGCCTAGCAGCCTCGGTTTCTCTGCTCAGTATTACAGCCTGCAGCCTCATGCTGTGAGAGGACCAAGGAGACTCATATCTCTCCTTTATGTTCTTTCTCTGTTTCTCCTTCCATCTCCCCACCCCTGCTAGTCCAGCTGACTGTCAGTTTCTCCCTACACAGGGTAGGGCTTGTATCTAGTATTGGTTCTCGCCAAGAAATTTCAGGTTCATTTGGAGGTAAAGTGTTCTGGGCTGGGGAGATAGCTCAGCAGAATAAGCACCCTTCCGAACAAATGCAAAGTTGAGTTCAATCCCTAATACGCCCCCCCAAAAAAAATTGTTCTGAAGTTGTACACCCCATTTTCTGATCCATAAATGAAATTTTCATTACTCTTCAGAATATATGGGGCCGGGGAGATGGCTCAGTGGAATAAGCGCTTCCCTGGCAAGCGCAAGGGCCTGAGTTCAATCCCCGATTCCGCCAAAAAAAAAAAAATGATTCTTCAGAATATAATGAGGATCTTTCAGTTCTCATGGGTTCCTTTGTTTAAAATTTGTATTTATTGGGCTGTCCAGATAGCTCAGCGGATTAAAGCACCTGTTTAGGCAGATGCAGGAACCAAGGTTTGATCCCTGGCTTGCCATGCCAGCCCTGCCCTTGGGGCAGGCATGCTGTAACTGCTACTGAGACTCAGAGTAGTGGCACGTGCCTGTAATCCCAGTGCTTGGGAGGCTGAAAACAGGAGGATCACTATGAGTCAGACCTGTGTAGTGAGACCCTATAGGCCCTGTACTAAATACATAAAAATAAGTAATGACTTCTTTTTTTTTTTTTTTTTTTTTTGCGAAACCGGGGATTGAACTCAGGTCCTTGTGCTTGCCAGGCAAGCACTTATTCTACTAAGCCATCTCCCTGGCCCAAAAATAAATTATGAAATAAAATAAAATTTGTATTTACTATGAATTTGCAGCCTGTAGGAGGACTTTTAGGCACACTTAAACTATAAAATATATGCATTTTTTTATGATTCCTAAATAAACATGAAATAGTATTTTGTATCTTTTTGCTCATTTGAAAAAGGTACACATACATTGGTTTCAGTTTGGATGGTAACTCTATTAAATGCTTACAGTAGTACAGACAAAATGAAACCACATTTGGGAACGACGTATGGTTAAGGCCCTTTAGGGGGGATCTTGACTGAAGAAAGACATGGGTTTTCTATGGCACGTGGGATTTGTTGGAACAACCAGTGGAACTTATTGGCCACAAATGTCTTTGAACAGTGCCTCTTCTGCCATTGCTACAGACTACATTTTATGTTCTGTAAAGCCTTGCTGGGCCATAAATACAAACTTCTGTTCTTTTGTGATTTAGCATGTCTGAATGAGGGGCTATGTGAGGCTTGGACTTTATTGTATCCTTTGAGAGAGGATCTACCAGTACTTTGGGAAGTCTGAACAATTTGCTTTTGAGTCACAGTACGGAGTTGGTAACACTATACCCTCTTAGTATCGAAGCCAGTACAACAGGAGTAACTTGTGACTACTCATTGAATAGGGTTTTAGGATAGCAAATATGACACATCATAGAACCTATGGTAAGGCCTTGGTTTTTTTTTTCTTTCTTTATGTTTTTCTGTATTTAGTGCAGGGTCTACAGGGTCTCACTACACAGACAGACTCCTAGTGATCCTCCTGTTTTCTACCTCCCAAGCGCTGGATTATAGGCACGAGCCACCATGTCAAGTCTCAATTGCTGTCTCAGTGCACCCCTGGGGCGGGGCCGGCATGGCATGCCAATTGAAGGATCCTTTTCTTTCTTAAGGCAGTGTCCATTATGTAGTTCAGGCCATCCTTGAGTACACTGTTGTAGTTCAGGCCGGCCTCACACTCACAACGGTCCTCTTGCCTCAGCCTCCCGAGTGCTGGTATTAAAGGTTGGTACCACCACATGTGGCCTTTTCACCAATTTAATAATGCATCAGACTTAGATGGCCCTTTTTCCCCTACCACTACTTTGCTAGCATTATTTTCATTACTTGGAAGCTTTTTGCCAAGTATGTTGGTGCACTCCTTCAATCCTGGCACTTGGGAGGCTAAAGCAGGAAGATCACAAATTCAGCCTCTGCAACTTAAAGACTTAACAAAACTTGACCTCAGAATAAAGAGAAAATTTAAAAAGGAACTAGCTCAATACAAAGGCCCTGAATTCGATCCCTAATGCCACCCTCACCCCCACACACAATTGAAACTTTAAAAATGTCTGCAGTATATTACGGCATGTGACAGACGACATATAACTTTCTGAGATTTCGTCAGACCTCCTGCACTATGGTGGGCATAGGTGGAATGACATCTTCCAAGGAGATCACCCAGCCCTAAAGAAAACTCCCAGGTTATAGCACATAACCCCCATGAAAACAGCAGCTCTGGATAGATTTCTAGAGAACCCTAGGCATGATAATTCATATAACTTCTCCTTGAAATCCCCCTACCTCTTCACTCACAATTTTGGTATGAGAAATTTTCTAACATAATAAATAACATATTTGTCTTTTTTTTTTTTCCTCTCAAGATCAAAAAATATTTTGAACTTGAACCACTTGCACGAGGAAAACGCTGGATTCTGCAGCCTTGCTCACTGGATGATGTGGATGTCCTGAAAGAAAGCTTCTCTCAGCTGATAAATTTGTTAGAAGAAAAAGACCATGAAGCTATGAGGATGTGAAATCTGACAGCAAAAAGCCCATTCCCAAAAGGCCTTGAACCTATCATGTTAGTTTCTTGTTTTAATTTGATGTTATTATCAAGACCATCCTGACTCTACTGCCTACTTCCTACTCGTTATTTCAGACTCTCTCCTCTCTGTCAGAGTGAATATTCTGTCATCAGGTGAATTATCATCAGCATTAATGTCAAGTACACACTACTGAGAGAGAATTTATTCTCTGTTTACCACTAATTATCTTCACCGAATGTCTCTTCCTTCTGTTGTTCTAAGCATTTCTTTTATGCTTCGTGCAAAAATGGATGGAATTCCTTGGCTCACAGAAAGCAAATCCCTTATGAGGAGCTCAGAAAGACTCAGTACCTTGACTAATTTTCCCTAGTGGAGTATTGTGTCGCTGGAGCTCCACACAATATATATGTCATTTTTTAAAGATCTTCTGGGATCTGCTTTTTTTTTTTAAATTTTACTCATCTTATTCACTTTTTTATATACAGACTTATAGAGTGAAAATGAGTACCAAAAATTGTAATTTATCATTTTATCATAAAGGAATATCCTGCCATAGTAAAGCTTTGAAGAACTTAAAGACCAGATGCACAGTGTTTCCTTGATTATGTCTTGAGGTCTCACTTTCTTTCCGCTTTTAAGAGCAAAGATGGTGATTTAAGTTTTGAGGAATTGGAGGGAATTCAGGCACAATGTACGCATCACTGAATATGTGTGATTATGTCCTCAAATATTTCCCCCCCATCCTCAAATATCTTTTATAGAATAATTAGCCTGGGGACTGGGGAGATGGCTCAGTAGAATAAGTGCTTGCCTACCAAGTGCAAGGACCTGAGTTCAATCTCCAGTTCTGCAAAAAAGAAAAAAAAGAATAATTAGCCTGCATTAAGCCAAACTGCAACATGATATACATATCTTTTTTCTAAAATTCAAATGTGTTTCAAACAGAGAAAATCATTTTTAAAATAACATTAAAATTTTAAAACAACCAAGCAAAATATAGTTTATACTCATTTGGGTTTAAGCTGGAATGCATTTGACAAAGATACTGAAGACAGAATTATCTGAATATTTATTCATTAAGTGCTAATGTAGTTTGATGGAGTCTATTAAAACCTCCATCTTGTAGCTAAAATTCTATCAGTATTTCTATTATAAACCTCTATTTTCAGGGGTTTCATTGTACCCTTAAAAATATGCTGGGGCTGCAGCAGATTTTTTGAGGGCCTGGATTCAGTCTTTGGAACTAATTTTTTCCATGTTATTTAAATGATAAAATTGCATAGAGATAAATGTAGTTTTATTGGGGTTCAATTCTTTTGACCTTTTCTAAATCAGGAATAATCTATGATATTGAGGTTCATAGATGAAATACTCTTTGGCACATTTTATAGACTTTTGACCACTTATTAAAATACTCAGTGGCCAAATAACAGAACACTGCTTCCTCCACCTGAGCAGCAGTTTTTAAGTAGTGTGGATTGATAGCCAAGTACCACAGATTCCCGCTGCGCTAAAGGGTGATGTACAACCTGGCCGTCTTTCGGCCACTCAAAGGCAGTTTGTGATTTTATCTTCTGAACAGATTTTAATGGCATCTCCTTTGAAGCATCCAGCACTTCACTTCTTTATGTTCCCCCCCACTGCTGTGGGTCCCAAACCATAATGTGTACAGTTTTGCTTGTAATAACCTTGAATATTTCCACCACCATGTTATAACCCATGAGCAGCACAGACCTTGTATTCCACAATCAGTTACATGATTCCTATTTTTATTTCATCCTGTTGTGCTTGTCCTCTGTAAAACCTTCAGTGATTATTGGGCCTTGCTTCCCCTGCAAGTTCATTAAATGTAGAATGTTGTCTTTTTAAGACACTGTGGCTGAGTATGCCCAAGCCATCTGTTAAATGACTTCCCGGTGTCTGTGTGTGTTCATGTGCGCGCCAGCGATGGGCTTCTCCTCAGACCCAAGACTGTCTGCAGCGCCTCAGCGTCAGAATGAAAACATTATCAATCAGTACCCAACAACAGCTGTTTTTGACAAGTTTCTGTCTGACGCCTAATGCTTTACAACTGTCAGTAAAGCTCCTTCTTTGTCTAGCAGGTCGGAGCTCACTGTCTTGCTGCTTTCAGAGAGGTATCCTGTCCTTGTAACCCTAGAATTTGCTGTGTTTTGGCAATCCGTGTGGGGGAGGGGTGGGCCTGCCCGGGTGGTGGGGGTGGGGAGTGGGGGGTGTCCTAGTCCTGCTTTGCTGTAAAGTGCCACAGGTGTCTTAGTTTGAATACTCAAGTATTATATAGGGAAAACAGTCTGTTGTGTATTTCTTCACTTAGCTTCTTGTTATATTTATGGAAGTTACCAGTTTTTGTACCTTCTTAGCTACAGCAGTTGCCTTTTTAAAATGGCAATTAATTTATATCAAACTTTGTACCTACTGTAGTTTTACAGTATTGGTTGCTATTTACTGCCAGATTGCCCTGTCTTTCTATGATACTGTAACTATTCTTAGGGATTAACAGATTCATGTGAACATTTGCCAGGCAAGAAGAACTTGTTACTGTCCTTGATTTATACATGATTACCACTATCTTCAAATGAAAATAAATGCTGAGTGAACCAGTGTTTTGGGACCAACTCCTTTCATCATTAGCATTTGGGACCCCAGGTTTCTGTTTACATTTGTGTGGCCTGTTCAACTCCATTGCTTCTTTGGGATCAAAATAGATTAATTCACATTTCTTTCAAGCCATTGTGAAAACCTGAACAGAAAAATAAGCATCTTCCATTTTTTTTTAATCTGCCACAGCAGTTCACCTCAGGGCGCTCTCCTTCCGAGTAATCGAGCAGGTTTGAGCCTCGAAGGCTTATCCTTCAGAGGATCATTGCATAATCTTGGTCGTAGCAGCAACTTTCTAGCACTATTTGGCGAGTATGTCATTCAGTGGTAAGTAGTAGATTCTTTTTACTAGATATTTTTAATTGACTGGAAAAGAAATACTATGTATTTATAGGTCCATCCTTAAGAATAAAAGTAAAAATGAGTAGGAAAGTAAAATCCAGTAGTAGGTGGATGGAAGCAAAAAAGGAAATGCAAAAAAAAAAAAAAAAAAAAAGTACTAGAAGAAAAATGGAAATCCTCACTCCTGTTTGGTCCCAAATGGAATGTTATCCTGATCCTTATTCACTGACTACACAGAGCTTTCAGCACTTCACTTTTAAACAGGGGTGATCTGCATTCCCAGTGACATTTCTAAGGTAGAGGAGGATTAGTTCTCAACTTCTTTTATCTCAGACTCATCCAAGCAAGTACAGACAAGACTGATTTGGAAGTGACTGGTTTTCCTCGGGTCCAGATGGCATTTTTATACTCATGGAAAATTGCGTATTTGTACTCACGGAAACCCAGCATTCCTGCTGGGCTTCATCTTTCTAATTCTAGAGTGCTTTCCATTAGCTCCAACCTGGTGGAGCAAGCAGTTGGGGGGATGGGGGAGGAGGCGGAAGTGTGGATTGCCCTTTGGGATCCCGCAGTTTTCAGCGCATTTGTGAGGGAGGGTCCGACTTTGTTATTCAGGAATTAGAATCTGGGTCCCTGCCTTCTGCTGCTGCCCAGCAGGGTTGGAGGTCTGAAGTCGGTGCTGTGAAATGTTTCACCACATCAGGTTGGGAATTCCTGCCTCCCAAGGGGTCAGAGCTTTTGGTCCTCACAGGGGCCAGTGTGATTAACTGATTTGCATCTCAGAGCTAAAAGTTTGCCAGCTCAGATGCGTGAGGTGACTGATGAGCCCAGGTTTTGGCGCTCTACCCCACCCCCACGCCTTTGTACTGATGTAGGCACATGAGAAAGGTCCCCTCCAAGGCTCAGAAGGCTCACAAGAAAAAAAAAAAAAAAGGCTCACAAGGACATCAGTTCCCCTTCCCTGTCCCATCCTCTTTGAATTTAAACTTTAAAACTTCCCTTTGAAACCCACTATTAATAAGTGCTTGCCATGGGGCCAGGGAGATGGCTCAGTGGAATAAGCGCTTCCCTGGCAAGCGCAAGGGTCTGAGTTCAATCCCGGGTTCCATCGAATGAATAAATAAATGAAACCCACTATTTCTTCAGATCTAGAAATTCTGGCTTCCCATCCCTAAGCTTGTCAGGGGCAGTCTCTTCCGAATGTGTCTCAAACCTGGACAAAAAGCTTGAAAGTTACCTAGAAGAATCTTCCCAGCACAGACCTGGATAGCATCCTCTTTTTTTTTTTTTTTCAAAACTGAACGTAAACGTTCCCGATTTCCCCCGTTTCCGCCGTAAGCTCATCTTGCATCTCTATGCTGGGTCCTGGCGTAGGAAGCAAGGCCGCCCGGGGGTTCCCGCGCGAGTGCCATTCTTGCTCCCCTCGCACCCTCAGGTTGCACGCGAGCATTTCTGTAGGACGTCGTGTGAGCAACCATTTCTTACAAAGACTGCCGGAGGCCTTGTAGTTTTCAAACCGATATAAGGTAAGAAACTCCCACCCCGAAAGATACCTGGGATGGGTTCCTGTTCTCTAAAACCCAAGGGTGAATGTTAGGAACAACGAAAGTTAAGAGCAAAATATGTTTACTGAGGGAAAGAAAGCTGCTGCGCGAGAGGGACCAAAGGGGACCCGAGTGGATGCCCACGAATCGCCTTAAAATCTAGGTGATTTTATAGAGCAAATCTGTAAAGGGAGGTGAGTCTAATGTGTAAAAACATGGGAACTCGCTAGGTGGGCATGAGGTGGGACAAAACTGTGGTCAGCCAATAAGATTACGAGCACGATTGCTCAGGTAAAATTGATTAAATCAGGACCAGATGGGGAAGTGAGTTGTGTAGCAAGCTGGCATGAATACGAAGCAGGGGCTCTTCCTGTAGGGGTTAGGTTAGTGGCTCTTCCTGGCTTTTTCGAGGTGATTGATATCTACTTAGAATATCAGTCCCTGATGCCCATCCCTAGGGAGGTATGTGGCTGCATCTGCATTTGTTTCATCTTTTGTCTTGAGGTCCGGCCCACAGTGGAGGGGCCTGCCTCCCCCACAGTTGCGGGGTATCTTCCATTCAGCTCCTTTGAGGGCCTAGCCCTGTCTGCCTGCCTATAATATTTCTTACTCAGTTGCCTACAACAAACCAACTTTACTTGCCACATATATATATGGTTGAGGAAGCACTGGTACTCTGGAGAATAAAGAAAGGATCGCTTAGATTTAATGCTTTGCTAATGTCAGCCAGGTTTATAACCCTGTGTGGCTCTTGATCCCACCCACCTCCTCTGCACTAGCTAGACGTGAACCAACATGGATACAGCCATCAAATTGCACTTCTAAAAAATGAGTTTTTGCAAACCACCAAACAATGATGAGTCCCTTTTTTCTCATTTCTTTTTCAAGGATCTCTTCTTTAATTCTATCCGTTGCCCTCAAAATATTCTACACCAATATTTTAGCGTGGTTCTTTCTAACAGCAACATTCCAACCCTAGAGGTGAGCTGGCAGAGTGTTCCCCAGAGAAGAAAGCTTGGCTGGACCTATAGGGACAAATCAAAATAAGCCTTGACTAGGCATCAGGTTCCCAGCCTCCCTTGTTTCCCTGATTTCTCCCGGGATGAGTGGTGGGGTGGGGGGCTGCCCTGTGGTCTTTCAAAAAGCCTAAGATCACTTACATCACAGGCAGCCCTTCCCTTAGGTGTGAAATCCAGCTTTCACTGACAACCTTCCCTGCCACAACCTTCACTGACAAGTGATTCATTGGGACAAGGGCTGGAGCTCCAGCATCAAACGGATGTCAGACAAAACACCAAACGCCTAGAAATGATTGCTTTCCAAGCAGTGGAATGACTGGAAGACGTGGCCTAATGATGCTCTCCATGTCTGGACAAGCTTACAGAAGACATGCGGGTGGGGGCAGCTGGCTTTACACAGTCTGGGAAGAAGGATGCTTCTGGAGCAGAAAGGGAAGCCGCAATACATACCTGCGAGGCTTGCGCTGGGAGGCATGATTTCAGGCCAGTCTGCGTGTAACACGTAAAGGGCAGCCCAGCGTGCACAGCAAGGACACCCCAAAGGCCAAGCTGGCTTGGTACGACTAAGTCATCATGCATAAAGATCAGAATAAATTAAAAATGAGAAGATTTTGTTGGAACGGAAACTGCTCATGAAAAGGCAGAGATAGGAATGCAAACAATAAATCTGCTTGTCATTCTCTGTAATCTGCAGTGAGTCCTGTTTTGGCTCTGGACCTTCTCCAATTGTTTTACAACTTTCTAGACAAGGGGAGTACCAGCCCAACACATAGTAAGCAGCTTCAACAAGATTTTTGAAATGACAGTTTATCAAGATTCAGCTTACCATTGACCTCTTAGGTTTTATTTCTTTAGTTTCAGAGCTTTTTGTTCATCTAATTCATTTCTGGTGAACACTTACTCTGTACCTGGCGTTGGGTTGGATGCTAACAATATAGCAGTAAATGATAGACTTAGTCTCTAATTTTACAGGACTTTAATTCCTGTGACATTGGGTGAATTGCATTTTTTTCTATGATC